GGAAAGAGCGAGAATGACAAGAGGCAGCCGGTAAGGGCCAGAGCGGGTAACCTTTTAGTCCCATTTCCATCAACTCTAACTGCGTATGCCTGACCAGACGTTTAGCAGCTGGTTTCATTAACCAAGACATTTGATATGGTCTAACGGACAGTCATACACCTAGGCGCATGGGATGATACATGCAGAAGGGAGCGCCGCATCCAGTTACAAACCTAGTTCCAGAAACTGAATTCACCATGATAATTTAGGTACCTCTCTGAAACCCAGGAGCCAAGTGTCCCTTGAAACAGTCTATGGCAGCTTCCTGGTGACACGAAAGGTCATTTCTGGCGCAGTAGTGTACTTGTAGGACTAGGAAATGGGACACTTGGGTTGTAGATTTGTCAACTCCAAGGTTTTGCTCCATTGATCCCATTGTCCAGGAAGGTGCACTGAACTGCCAGCTTGAGCTGGGTCATTCTACAACCTCCCTATGTAACTGGGGTCACTGTGCATGCAGGAAGGAACATGGAAATCATGGGGACTACCAAAGACTCATCATGGTGTAACTTCTGATGACTCATGAGCTTGCTTATAGAGTTGTTGCACTGGCAGGATGGAAATTTAGGTTTGGTCAAACCTCAGCATGCCTTTTATATGTTTTTTTTATCTAAAGATTATTTCATATCAAATTCACAGGCATCCCTGAAAGAGGGTTCAAAGCAAGTGTCCTGTTTCTCAGGCTCAGCCCTAAATAGAGAGGAGGATACCACTCCAGCCAAAAGCACTAAACAAAACCATTGCTGGCTGGGAGAGCTTTCTGTAATACAGGAAAGAATTTAAAACTCTTTGGGAGACTTAAGAACCCATGACTCCAACTTTGTGAGCTAGTATGAAAGGTATCCTCTTCTACTGGCTCTTGCTTGCACACATTCAGTATCAAAGAATCATTCAGGGTGGAAGCAACCTCAGGTGGTCTCTAGTTCAACCTCCTGCTCAAAGCAGGGTCAGCTCTGAGGTCAGACCACATTGCTCCATTCTTTATGCAGTTCAAGTCTCAAAAATCTCCATGGATGGAGCCTGCCCATCGTCTCTGGGCAACCTGTTCCTCTGCTTGACTGTCCTCATGGTGAAAATTCTTTTCCTTGTATCCAGGTTAAGCCTCTTTGGTTTCAACTTACACCCATTTTCTTGCTCCTCCCACCATGTACCACTGTGAAGAGCCTATCTTTTTGGTAACATCCTTGCAGGTACTGGAAGACAGCTTTTAAATTCTCTGTAAACCTTCTCCTTCTGTGAGTTGAACAAGCCCAGTTTCCTGAGCCTCTCCTCACAGGGAGATCTCTCCTGTTAGCCCCCTGACCATCTTAGTGGCCCCTCCACTGAACTCACTCCAGTTTGTTAGAGTGTTTCCTATATCTGGGGGTCCAAAACTGGATACAGTATTCCAGATGTGGGCTAACAAGTGCTGAGGGGGATAATCACTTCCCTCCTTCCACTGGCTGCGCTCCTGTTAACACAGCCCAGATGTTGTTGGCCGCCTTTGCTGCCCAGGCACACTGCTGGCTCACATTCCCTCCGAGGACCAAAAACCACACACACACTAAGCAAGCTGGTATACCCCAAGTACTCTGGTGGGAAAGACACCAAGATGAAGCATGTAGGTACACAAAAGAGTGCGACTCTAAGCACTGAAGCTTGATCTCAAAAGCAGGTTCCTGAACTGCCCAGGAGGGGTGTTACTGACAGTTTTGTTAGAGAGATGCATAAAATTGACTGGAAAATAGTGCATTTATGTTCCTTAGATCTGACCTTAAAATACAAGAAAATATTTATTTTAAAGGTCATGGTTCTCTTTGTGTAGTGAAACTTTTATATGCAGTTTATCAACTAAAGATGTTCTTTAATACAAAGCTTAAAAATCAACTTTGCATTCCCTTGCTATCAGCTACTGTAAAATTTCTTTGGTCAGGTAACTAGCGACTTGAAAATATTAAGGAATGGGGAAATTCAGAGCTAGCGGTGCCTCCCCGGAAGATATGCTTCCCTGGTCACAAGTTACTGGGCTCAACATGGAGGTCAGTGTGCACGATTCTACAGCCTGCAATAAACTGTACTTCAGAAAAGATCAACTGGTCTGGTCTGAAACCTTAGAAGCACATAAATTACAAAAAAAAGCCATACAATATACTTGTCTGTCTTACGACAGAGAAAATTCAAGATCTTACCTAACAAACACAAAATTGCAAACTTGCATTCTGCTATGTCTTGAAAAATACTGCAATAGAGAACATATAATTGACAGAAGGCGAAGAATCACAGCGCAAACCTGAATTATATTACCTATGCTTGCAGAATACTAGTATTTTATACCTTCTGGTCATGTTAATACTGTATATTAGATCTGAGCCCTGAAAGCTGCTCAAAGTAAAAAAGAAGTGAGATTTATGAAACTTTTCCAAGATGATTTATATTAATTATCTCTGCCTACTCCTAGCACACTACTTAATATTAAATGTTTCCCCCTCTCTCTCTTTTTAAAATGGAATCCAGGAAAATGTCAAAAATGATTCTTTAAATATTCTTACCAGGCATACTTTAAAATGTTTATCTTAGACATTGTTAAAACATATGCGTGGTTATCTCAAATTATATTACAGACCAAAGTAAACTCTCAAAATCTAGACAGATAATAACTTTTTTGTTCCAAGAGAGAAATTTTACCCTTAAGAGTCAAACACACAGCTCCTACTGATTTTAACGTACATTATGTACATGTTACTGAGGGTGTAAGATATTACCCTCCTACAGAGTGAAATATTTGATTTTTCACATCAATTTACCACAAACCTGAGTGAAGGTCTTGATGTGCATCAAATAATTTTTGAAATCTTTCCTCTGCTTTCAAAGCCCGAATAGTCCAAAGTCCCTGGAGAGATGACGACAAGTGGGAGAACACTGGACTGCGAGCTACAAAGGGAAATGAGAGTAACTTAGCAATAGCTGAAGGACTACATTTAGTTCTTTTTGTACCACACTAATCTTTAATCCTACTACTTTATATTTAACCATAAATTACTGTACTGCATCCTTTTAGAATAAATATGCGGTATCTTTAACCAAAGTCCTCTTACTCAATTAGAATCAGTCACACAGCCAGGAAGATTAATTTATACAAAAATGTCTTATGTTTTTAACAATAACTGTCACTGAAGAAATTCTTTGAGCTTTATTAATGACATGAGGCACCCATGTTTGTTATTCATCCTGCTTAATATTTCATACCATAGTCAAGCTAAAGTCAGGCACAAGAGTCACATTAGGTCAGAAACACTGTTAGTATGTGCATGCAAGGTCCCAAAGACCAGCAGCTTAGCATGTTCGTAACTAGCTTTACTTACAGACAGTTAAACTGACATACCTAAGGTTTATCATTACACAAAACAGGAGTTAAGCATGTAATTCACTAGTTGAGAGCCAAGGCAGTAAGAAAGTTATTTGCATAGCAAAAGAAAAAAAATCTTTGGTGGGCTGTCTATAAAATACTAGCATTTCACATAATAATAAGCAGGGTTCAAACTAACATTAAGTCCCGCCAAACTACATACTTGTGGATTCTAGACGTTTAATATCTCTTGAAGTGTCTAAGAAATATCGTCGAAGAAAAATGAAAAGAATAAATAGTGGAATTAAGGGGATGAGTATCCAAGGAATCACTGCCACAGCCACAGCCACCACACCAAAAATCTGTAGGAGAGTCTGCAACACAATAGAAACAAAATAAAAAAACTCATTGCCAGAAGAATTTAAGTTAGAACAAGTATAAAGCTATTCAACACTATTGAAACAGTTACATATTTAAACATAACTACCAAATTTAAGAGCGGATGCATTGTATAACATGAGTGACATCTATTTTTAAGCAACTTGAAGAAATTACAGTAATGCCTAATTTGACTAATTGTGCAGTTCATGGTTTTCTTCTGCATTATTTGTTCTTTAAGAAATGTCTTTACAAAACTGGTTGACTGAACATTAGCATCTTATTTTGTGGACTATTCTGTGACTGCTATAACAAAATAATAGATGATTAATGAAATAGACAACTAATCTTTAATGGATCCAAGCTATACGGTGAATCAGGGATATGTTTGTTTCACTCCAGGTAAAAAGAAACTGGTGAAAGACTGACTTTCAGTTGAAAGACTTGACAGCTGGAAGACCAACTTTCAACACAGACTTGTAAGTTTTTTCCTAAAAACAGCTTTGTCCCATTTAAAAAGAAAACCCAGTATCAGAGAAAGTGAGCTTTCTCTTCCCAAAGGATTGCATTGGGAAAGTTACAAATAAGACAAAAACATCAAACACTGCAATGAGAAGTGTCACAGGAAGCTCATTATACCAGGTTTACTTAAGAGTATGAAATGAACAGCTGGGCTAAACCTGAATTTACTCTTAGAAAACCAGATATAATGTGGAATGAAGCTTTGTTGCTTAGGACAGTGGATCCCAGCCCAACTTTCTGAATTAAATCTCACATTTCCTGCAGGCCACTTCACATCCTTCAGATCAAACTTCCAGTTTGAATACACTATGAAAAGCAGTATCTGCACACAAATTTCTTTCAGAACACTAGCTGTGTATGTATGTATGCCTGCCAGGAGTCCTGGCATAATGAAATCAGGATGTGTCCCTTTGGGTCCTTAAAAAAGGGACCTCCCCCTCCCCAAAAGAACCCACCCTGTACAAAAAGCAGACAACTGAAATTCTAGCTCAATAGTAAATTCCTGTATTATTTTCATTAATAAATTCCTTAGAAATGACAATATTTTCTAAAATGTCTCCATTTTACAGACTGCAGAAAAGCCACCTTCACCATCATCACACACAACACACAAGTAGATTCCAGCTGAACTTTGTGGCTGCCTGATTTTTGGATGCAAAAAATGCATTAGTGACCACTGGGTCCTGAGAATTTGTGTCTTCCAGCAAAAAGGCTTCCATCCCTTTATCTGTGCATCGAGTTGGAAAAGCTAAGCAACACATCAGCTAAGGTCGGATACCAGAGAGCTACCTGGATTTTCAAACACTTTCAATGAAGTGCCTATGAAACATTGAATTTCCTCTTGCACTTCTGGTAGCCCCCACACAGACGCTATAAAGCCAAAACCAAGCACAACCTTTTCCCCTACATCTGTTTTTTCTTGAGGCTTCTCTGACTTTACCGTAATTTCACCTGACCAAAGAGCAAACCCACACACCTTACACATTACAACTGCATGAGTCAGCACAATTCAGTCTTCAGCTCTAGGCAAGATCTTAGCTCACGATAGAAGATTTATCAGCTAACAGCTTTGCATCTCACAGATCCTGAAAGCACATTATAGGGTCTCATAAATCTATTAAGGAAAATAGCTATAGGGTAGGTATGGGGTAGGAGCTCTGAAGGAAGCTGCATTACCACTGCACTGCTCATCTGTGTGTTAAGGTGTTGACGGCATCATGTTGTTTGACCTTCTAGATACATACAGTAGATTGCAAACATTTTACCTAGATTTCATCACGAGCAGGTAAGGTGGCAGCGAGAGTGCAAGGTATTTCAGTTAATTATGCACACAGTTATGTCAGCACAAAGCAAAACAAAGCACCCAGATTCCTCACCAGCGCTGCTGCCGTCAGCCCTTCTCTACCTTCCACTTCTCCGGCATTCTTTAAAACCCTGTAAGCGTATTTCATTTTTATTGTCGGATGAGAAGGGAAATAAAGATTCCTGACCTCTTCCAATTTCCTCCTGTCTAGATCACTGTTTTCCCCAGTACTGCTCATTGCCTCTGCCAAGCCTGTCAGCCATCCACATGCTAGCTCATTTCTAAAGGCTCCCTCACCTCCATCCTCAATGGCAAATGGAGACTGAAGTCCGCTCCTTCCTTCTGATAACTCCCATATCTGCTTTATACGCCTGCTGCTTTCCCCTTCTCCCTCCGCCACCTCCTAGACAGTCACAATAAAGCAGTCTCTGAAGTACTTCTGCCTCCTTATACCATCAGCTGCAAACCTGAAGTGAAGCACCGAGGAAAGCTGCTTCAAGGAAAAGAATTCCAAGGAAAATTAACAAAAAAATTAAAAAAGCCAAACTGAAGTTTCAGTGATTATAATCTACAATATATTGCAAAGTGCCGGTGGGGGTGGGGGTGGGAGTGGGAGTAGAACTATTAGGATCCAGCTCATGTAAACAAAGCCTTGCTATGGTGAAAATACAGGGAAGGAAAAGATGGTTAGGATGACTAAAGTAAAAATCTGACACCGCCTTTGGAAGGAATTTTAGATGAGCCTGCACCACCTTATCATTATAAAAATTTATGATAGGGTGGATCAGTCATGTGTGTTGTTTTTTTGGAAAACCAAACTTGCATACAAATTAACTCTTAATGAAGTAGTCTGAAAGCCAGACACAACCATTTGCAGACTGTAATCATGTAGTTACTGCGTGAGGTAAGGCAAAGGTTTTAGCTCCCAAGTTTCACAAGAGATAACTAACCTTTTCAGCTGGAGACTGCCCCAACTTCTAGTAGATTCACTGTGTGCAAGCAGGAGGACCGGAGATAATCAGTAGGCTGATGATAACAATAACAATAACACAAGCAGTTTGACTGCCCTCCTCTCTGGAGACAAGCAGTGAGCTAGGTTTCTTGCACAGCAAGAAACACTCAGGACTGGTTATCTAGACCTTGTCTAGAAGGATCAGCTTACAACTGAAAATTGCAAGATTTCCCTACATAAGGAAATATGGCCTACAAAATCTGCATCTTTTACCATATTTCTTAATTTTAGCATTTAAAAGTCTTCTGTAATGACCGTGCAGAAAACAGTAGCCACATTTAAAAAAAAAAGGGAGCTGATTAATTACATTTTGTAGCTATTGCACAGTACTGGAAACAAGGCCACCTTACACAAAAGACAACAGACGCACAGGCTACCGAGACTGAGAAGACCTGGACGGAGAAATCTAATTTGCTTCCAAATGGAGCCATATTGTCCAATGTCCACCGTCAAATTTGCTTCAGTTTCCCTGGAGAAAGAAGAATCTCCCACTCACAGACTGCACGTACCCTATCCCTAGGAGTACAGAAAAGCACGTGCTGTTTCTGTTAGAGTCATCCTCTTGCTTGTAAGAGTCCTGAGAGATTTCCCTCATGCTTTGGTCAGTCACTCCATTCACTGTGGCTTATTTTTCCTCAAGAAATCTCCCTTACCATCTCACTAGAGCAAGTATACCCTCCTATAACCCTCTAGGGAAGTGAATGCTCTGATCAGCACATTCACTTGCGACACATGTGCTTTGCCTTCATCTTCTGATGACCTACATATTCGTAATTCTTATAGGTGCTGAGAGTGATATCCTGGAGTTTCTATCTCAAACAGGTCTTGATCCAGGAAGAACAAGGTATTTCTGTACCACAACCACACAACAGAAAAGCATTTAATGCAAAGTAAAGAAACAATAAGAAAAAACAAAATCTGGAAAAAAAATGGGAATTACACGCTGTAAGCCATACATAAATCAAAAGCTTTTCAAAAGATTTTCCTTTTCTTGCAGAAACTATACCATTTATATAATGTTACAAATCTTATGACAAATTGTAAGCCATTTGAAGTCATTTAATAAAGTTGACAGCACAAAAATGCAAAAGCAAGATTTAGAGACTTCAAGACGTCTCGTAAGAGTGTCTGCCCTTCCATCCTATAGATCATTGCTATTCCGTATCAGTTATACCCTAAGCTCAGTATTTCATGTTTGGCTCAAGTACTTTTTTAAAAAAGGCACCCAGCCTTCACATAGAGATGTTTTCAACCCCTCAGGTCTGCCGGCACTTTGTTCCAGTGGGTAGGTACCCTCACTTCTTAGAGTCCTTTATCTCCTTGTGAAAGTACCTGTCAATTGCCTCTGTCTTCTCTCTAATGAGCACAACAGTCAGATCTTTGAGGTCTTCCATCATTCAAGAAGAAATTTTGCCTTCCTTTTTTTTCTTTAAATGGACCTTACAATTTATTTCAGCATCTCTTATAAAATATATGCATAAGGGGTACCACACAGTTGTGTCTCTGTAAGTGCCTTGTGTGGCCTGTGATGCCAAGCTGGGTTTGACAGCTATCATATAGCAGCTACTGCTGTAGGAACCGCACCGTTCTGGACTTGCAGCTGGTGACCTGGTAAGATCTCTAATGAACGAGAGGAGCACAAGGGATGAGATTTGAAACTCAGAAACCCGATTGTGGGAGTCTACATAGGAAAGCTCCTGTCCTATTTGGCTGAGTTTAGGAAGTCATTCAGGTAATGTTCAGTGGATACCTAGCTACCCTGTGGTTGAATATTTCTCAAGAGTCCACTAACTGTATTGACCAGATGCCCTCTGACTCCAGCAAAGTAAGCATCCAAAGCCCAACAAGCAGATACCTACATTTTGATGACTGAATCTGCAGTCAAAGCCCACCCAAGAACTGTGGTGTTCCAGGACCAGTTTTACCAGCATGTAAGCCCAAGTCAAACATACCCCCCCCCCAGGCTCCTACTCCCTGGACCCCAATATACACTCCCAAGGATTATATTAGCCCATGGACACTGCCACGAAGCCATACTAATTTAATAATAGCAACAGTGCATATCCTGGATTTCAAGTTTGCAACCTTAACTGCATTAACTTAGGGCACTCTCAGTCAGGCTGTGCTGTCTGAAGTAAAGCCAGGTCAAGAAACTACAA